ACGAGCACGCAGTAAGAAAGAGGCAGCAGCAATAGGCAACGGTACGTTTACAATTCGAGTTAAAAAAAAAACAAAAAACAAAACACACACACAAAAAAAAACCCAACCCAAACCCAAATCCTCTCCTCGTTTCCCAGGGCTGCTCCCTCACAACTTGAATTAAAGTGGTGGAGCGATGTAGCGTTCTCTTGGGGTTAATGTTACATTAATCAGAACTGACAAGCATGAAAATCATTCTTTGTTGTCTTTAAATTGCTAATTTAAGATTGAAATCTAAAACGCTTGAGCACTGATCGTTAACACAGACAATCTTGTCTCCAGTGGGCCGCCGCACAATTGTTTTACATTTGGTTCAGAAAACAAATGCAAAGTCTGTAACCAAATCCTAATGTATCGTTTAAGCGTTTCCATTCAAAGACATTCTTTGGCGAAACTTCACCGAACTGTGCCACAGTTTAATTTAAAAGCAGCGTTTGCGCAGACATTTACATCTGAAGGCGGAGACACCGTCATTGTGTCACGGTAGCAAGAATGTCCCCAAATCCCGATTTGTTGTTTCCATGTACAGATGAACTTTAAGGACCTGATTCTCAACGGCGGTACCGAGCAAAGCGTGAGATGCTCGGTAACAAGCAAGCAGAGTATTTTACAGCTTACTGAAATTCAGCAGCCTATTAAAGAGTACGGTCAAAATTCATGTAAAGAAGACAGGCACCAAACAGATGAAAGGGGAATAAAGTGTTATCGAATGTGCAGAGAAAAAAAAAAAAAAAAAAGATTCGCAAACCAAATGGGATACCTCGTTAACGGAATTACAGGTTGTGTTTGTGGCAGATCAAGCCCGGTCTGAAATGGGTGATTTGTCAATGTGACTACGTGCAGATGCGGGTCTGCGGGCACACACAGCCCCCACAGGGCGCGTTCACTTAGCGCTGGTATGAAGCTGGATATTCAGCTTGGCTAAAGCCGAAGCAAACTCTGTGACCCGAAGTCATTTCGTTAACCCCAGCACCCGCGGATGTTTCCGTGCGATGCTTTGCACTGGGAAGTATGGACACCTCGCTGTAAGGTGCTGTGGGAAGGCGGCCGGGCCCTTGCCCTACACAAATACGGGAGTGTGCGGGCGCTGTGCCACACGGCTGCCCTTTGTCACTCCAGCACTCTGCTTTTCCAAGCGGTTCCAGCAAAGTGGGGTCCCATATCCATGGAGCACGGTGGGAGATCCGCAGCAAATCCCGGGGCTGAGCTTGCTGCACAAAAGCCGTGTTAAGACACAAGCACTGTCATGCAGAACAAGCCCCGAGAGCAGAAGAAAAGGTCTCAGTGCCTGGCCAAGGAGCGGGGTCACGCACTGGGAGCGCTTTGTGCACGGCAGGGACAGGACGGTGGCTCCCCAGGCTCACAGCGAGGGCTTGATGGAAACACAGGCCGTGAGCCAGGCCTCTGGGCAGCCTGGTGCAGAACATGGAGGTGCAGAGAGGGCATTTCTCTGTCCTTCTCTTCACTGAACAGGAGTGCAAACCTACCCTCAGACATTCCTTTTCTTTGTTAGCTCCAGCATCATTCAGAAATTTGCTAACATCTAGACTAAAGGCAGGCCCCACATAAGTATAAGAAAATGTCCATCGTGTCTCACGCTCCCATGTGAAGGGGCAGATCCCAAGAGAGCAGATCAAGAAAATATCGACAAGGAAGGATAATCTGGGTTCAGAGCCATGGGAGACTACTTCTGAGCTTGAAAACAAAAGGTATTTTCCACTGGACAGGTGTCCTTAGAAAGTGCAGTTGCAAGATTTGATTGACGCAAGATTTGTCCTGCTAAATTATGTCACTCAAGAATCCCTGCACGTATTTAACTGCTTTATATGGAAGAGCAACAGGAAGAGGACCTCTGCAAGCATCTCTGAGCAACAGGATTTGCAGTGTGCCTGAGACTCAGAAGCTGATCACCTATACAAGGACAATCGAGTGCCTGATAAGGAAAGGGCTCCTAAGAGTCTCAGACCTTTGAGTGAAAAACTTTAGCATGTGCTTGAACAATTTTTGGTTGATTTTCACTTTTATTTCAAACTATTTAAAAATGAGATTTTATAACTAAACAACAAAACAATTTTATTGGGCATTTTGGTTTATTAACATTTTTTATAGCCTCAGACCAAAAGAATTCCTTAATATTAATTGACTTTACGCACAAGGATGAGTCTGTCTTCATTTGCCTGGAAAAGTGTGAAGAAGTGCTTAGAGCTGGCCTAAGGGAACCTCCAGTGCTCAGTGTATTGTCTTGGCAGCTGGTGCCATCCGAGAGTCTCCCTGCCTTATCCCCAGCTGTCACACCAGGAGGGCATCACCAGCCTTCAGCCCTGTACCAATCCAGCCAGCCCTGTCTGAAGGCCTTACATACTAAAAGTGCTGCAGATTTAGCTGGTTTGAGCTCTTGCTGACTCTAACGGGAATTAGATAACCACTTTGTTCATCTCAAAACTGAACCACAGTCCAAATTCCACAGGCACTGAAGAAAATCATGTCTTATCTTCAGGGTCTCACACGTACAGAATTCCACACCATGCTTAGTCCCGAATCTGTTTGTTCACAAATCAAAACATTTCAGTTGTATTGAGGAACATCACAGTCATAGAATCATAGAATAGCCTGGCTTGAAAAGGACCACAGTGATCATCTGTTTTCAACCCCCCTGCTATGTGCAGGGTCACCAACCACCAGACCAGGCTGCCCAGAGCCACATCCAGCCTGGCCTTGAATGCCTCCAGGGATGGGGCATCCACAACCTCCTTGGGCAACCTGTTCCAGTGCTTCACCACCCTCTGTGTGAAGAACTTCCTCCTAATATCTATCCTAAACCTCTCCTGTTTCAGTTTAAGACCATTCCCCCTTGTCCTATCACCATCTACCCATGTAAACTGTCGTTTTACACACAATGCAACCAATGCCCATTGAAGATGTTGCCTGAAGTATTCCTAAGTGATGTAAATATTAATGCATACCTGTATCAGCTTTTAGATGAGCTTTCCAAGATTCCCCTCTAAATGTACCATTCTAACGTGTACCCACTGTTTCAGAAGGATCGTTTTCTATTTAACATCTAGGGCTGAACTGGAAACCATCAAGCTGTTTGTATTGGTCTACTCAACACTGTGATTTATTATCCCTCCCTCATCCCATCTATTTTCTGTGCCTCAGATGTGCAATTAAATCCATACCATCTGCTGATGTCTGCACAGGACACGTCTGTACCAGCACGAAAGCAAAAGAACAAGTTTTCTGATGACCAGAGTTCCTTACCCATTGCCTCACAGCTCAGGGCAGCTGACTGCTCCCCAGGAGAAGTACAATGCAGGAACTACTCAAACTCAGAGCAGTCCCAGAGCAAGCAGTGCTGGTCAGAGCCTCTCTGAGTTGTGCAAAACAGTATTGGTGTTTGCTTCAAAGAGATAAAATGTTGCTCTGTATTTATTTTAAGCTCACTTTTAGTTTCATTTAAGATTTCAGACATGTACACAAGTTCAGATGCCTCATTCAGAATAACAGCTTATGGTGTCTTGTCTGTTAAATGGACTGAATAAATATGTTTTGGTAAGTGCACACAATATATACATATTGTATATAGTTATGTATATTAGGGAGCATTTAAAAATACATTAGAAGTCTTTGCTGCATTAGAAAGGTTTCAACACTGAGGCAGAGGCGGCGCTCTCCCCTCCAGAGAATGTTTTCGTATGTGATAGGAAGATAAGAGATCACATTTCTCTTAAGGATTTACTGCACTTGCTTGCTTCTTGACAATGCATTATATATCTGCCATCCGTTTTCATAAATACCCAATGAATTTCAAATTAAATTACTTTGGGGAAATCAATTTCTGGCTGTCTCAATAAATCACACACATTCCCTCTATAATGTCTGGGTGGTGAGAAGGAGCTGGGCTTTGTGTATGTCCCTCAGGCCCAAGAATTCTCTTCCCAGCCCTGAATGATTTAACATGGCCATTACTTAGAGGGATAGGTGCACGGCAGTGCGTAAGGCTGGGGAAAAAAAAGAAAGAAGAAAGGTCAGCAAATGTAATCAGGAGCAGCACAGCAATCCACTGCTTTACCTGTTGGCTGGAGCCAAATCCCAATCCCAGATCAATACTTTGTGGCAGATTAGCCAACATGCAGGGAGAGGCTGAAGACGGCCCTGTGCCAGGAAGGGTGTGAGCTGTGCTGAGTGAAAACCAGCTGAAATGCTGTCTGGTTAACAAAAAGAGAGAGGAAAAGAGTAACTTTATCTGTTTTGTGTAAAATTAGATACCGTAGAGATAACAGAGACATAGCAAATCTCCGTTATCACTACATTGGGGTTTGGGAAGATAGGCGCTGTCTGGTGGAGGAGAAAGGGGCAGCACTGCGTTGAGGACCTGATGGGCTGCCAAATAGAGACCAGCATGAATGAAAATGCATTTTTGAGGATCATAACTGTGGTGTGAATGGCCGATGGAAGTCGGGGAAGGCACCCTGAGCGCAGGGACTCGTGAGCAGAGGGGAGAGCGGCGCTCCCGGAGGCAGCACGTTGCGCGGGGGGCACTGAGCAATTAAGCTGCTTGGCACACGAGAGGGAAAAAAGCAAAGAGACGGGGCAACGCGGCGAACGGTGTTGTTCCGTCTGCGCGGGCGGCCGCTGCGCCGTCCCGTCGCGAAGCTCGGCCCCGCCGTCCCGCTGCCGGCACCGGGGCCGAGAGGGGGCGGAGGGGGAGGGCCGAGGCTTTCGGGGCGGCGGGGCCCGGGGCGGGGATCCCCGAGGGGCGGAGGGGGGGGGAGGCCTCCGCGCGGCGCTGACGTCGCCGAGGGGCCGGGGCGAGGAGGCTGCGGCTCGGGGCGGGCAAGATGGCGGCAGCGGCGGGTGACGGGTGCGTGTGGGCGACGCGGGGCGGCACGGGGCGCTTCCCCGCGGCCGTGCGGGGGGGCGAAGAGCCGGGGAGGCGGTAGCGAGCGGGGCCAGGCGGGCGCGGGGTCGGTGAGGAGCGGGGTCCCGGGGCCCTCGCTCAGCCCGGGGAGTGAGCGGCTCGGGGAGGGAGGCGGGAGCGGCGGTGCGAGCCGCGGGACCGGCCGGGCTTGGCCGGCGCGGCCGGCGGGGCTCGGAGACGTTCGTTAAGCCTGAAGCGTCCCGCGTGCGGCCGCGGGGTACGAAGCGGTGTCCGGGTGCGTGGTACCCGTCGGCCTGTTCTCAGCTGCGGGAAACGCGCAGTTCTTGGCGGGGAGAAACTTTAAACGTAGCCTCGCAGCTGCGTTCGCTGCCTGTGCCTCCTCGCGGGCAGCGTTACCGGGCGAGCGTTCCTGGGCTAGGAGAAAAAGACGAGCGATGAAAAGCGAGCCGTGGGGCTGCGCGGCTCTGAAGGAAGGAGGGGAGGCTGGGGGTTTCGTGGCAGCGCTGCGCGCTTACCTCTCGGAAATCGCTCGCAGCGTTTCTTTACAGATCTTTAGGTCTCAGTGTTAGCTTGAGGGTTCGCTTGGTTCGGCTTTAAAAACAACAGCAACCAAACAAACACAAAAGCCGGCAGCGATCTGTCTTAAGGAAACCGTGTATCTAGCTTCGAACAACGCGCGTTACCCAAACTTGCGATCGCTGTTTTTCAGCTGCGCAGCAGGTAGGGGACCTGAGGAAGGGAAAGAGATGAGCCTAGCGATAAGGTCCAGATACGGCTCGTGGAGAATAAACACCGCGGTCCGTGTGTGTTTGTGGCTGGTGGAAGCTGGGCGCAAGGAGACGCCGTGCCCGCTGGCAGGCAGCTCGCCGCTTTCAGGAGCGCTCAGTCGCTGCTGCACGGGGGGCTGATCTCTGCGCTGCTGGGCAATTAATTCCCGGTTTCTTTGTGTGTGTGCAGGGAACTGAGCCCGGGGAGAGAAGAAAGCACGAGGAGCGCTGAATAACTTTCCTTAGGGATTTTTGGCGCTGCAGCGTTCACTTGTTTTTACTTCAGCTGCAGATTTCTACCAGGTGTATCAATCGGCATCCAGTTTTGTTGTTGTTGTTTTCCTAATGAGTTTTACACATTACTTGCAGTTTCAGTCTTATTTCCCTGACTTGTCTTGCCAGTTCTAATCTGTTCGGTTTTAATCTGAAGGTTATAAACTTTCCCATTTGATTTAGTCTCGGTATTTTAGCACTCCGTGTCCTAAAGCACTCATGCTGTGCTTACGTTCACCCATGTAAGCACTATACTATCACTCTTGATGCTACTTTTCAAATGAAAAATAGTTTTTTGGACATGTAATATCATAAGGAGAAAAGAAAACGCTAAAACAGCGTTTATAGCACGACTTAAGAGATAAGAAAGTCACTACAGGGCTGACTGATGGTGTTGCTGTGTCCAGCAGCCCTAGAGAAAGCAGTTTGGTTTTCTTGCCTGCTGGAAAGGACTTATATGTTGTGCAGGAGAGTCTATTTTGCTTAGCTCTAAAGCACAGAGCTAAATCTCATCTCTTATAATTCTGTCTACCATATTTAATCGCTGCAGGATGCTTAAGAATTTCTCTGGTATTCCTAAGAAGGTTTGACCCACACGTACAACTCTGAGATGTACATGAGTTCCTCATATTATGTACATCGTTATTAGAGAAGCTCATCTTTGTTGGGGAAAGGTTGTCAGACTGGAGGAAGACACAGGGTAAAATTAGTGGTCTTATTTACAAAAACAGTATTAAAAACAAATGTAGTATGGACAATTACTTGCAAAAGAATCTCATTAGCAGCCTGTGAATAGACTGCCTTTTAGAAGGAATGAATGCTGTGAACGCCAGCAAGCTGAAAGCATTCAGCGAAGCCCTTATTTTTGTGATCTGCTGGCCGTGGTGTTCAGGGGATCCTGACCTCTGGAGCACCGGGGCTGGAGCTCAGTCTGGGATTCACCACGTGGGTACCCAGAGGTCACAGCGCCCAAAATCCTTTGGTGCAGCTGGTATGGGCGGGAGGCAGCTCTCAGATAAATTGAATGAGGATGACTGACGTGTAAAACTGTGTGCACTTTTCCTGGTTTTGCTACAGCTGGCTCAGCCTTTCCTGCGTGACAGCAAGAGGAACACAACGCCTGCAGCTCTGGGTGCCAGCTATGTGTGCGTTTGTTGCAGCTTTTTGGTAGCTGTGTTGAAACATCTTAATGGGCATTAGCCACAGGATGATTAGCTGATTGAAGTCGTGTTGCTGTTGTTAAATCTTCTAACTACAGTTTTAATGTAATTACCAGGTGAAAAATGAAGCCACTTTCCTATTCAGTTGCTGTTTTTGTACCTGCTTCCCTTCCTCAATGTCACATCATCAGATGCTAGGATTTCCCAGATCAAGTGCAAGGCAGACACCTTTTCTGATTCAATTAATCATTTCTTCTGCATGTCAAGTCCTTTGGATTCTATCCAGAACGATCTAAATCACATAACATTTTGCAGCTGGCTTACTCATCTTAGAACACAGAGTCCTGGACCTTGATGTAGAGCCCAGGCAAGGTCCACGCTATGCACACGTTTGTAATGGCAAAACTTAGTTCTTGGTGGGGATAAGCTGCATATTTCACAAGCACTTGTCCTGCCCACGTGAAGTAACTTTCATCTGGTGAGTACTGTGCTTGCTGAGATTGGTGCTGTGTGTGCTTTAATTTTGCCTTTCTAGTCAGTGACATCGTGGGCACAAATGCTCCAGGTCAGGCATAATTGCTTCCTGACACATCATTTGTCTCTAGGCGATATCTCTCAGCTGGGTTGGTTTTGCCATCTCTCTTTAGACTTTATGAAGGCAAAGAAAGAATGAATCACTGTCTCTTTAATTTCTGTTAGTCAGAGCCTGCCTATTTGTTTTAGGTAAATGCACCTTACAGGAGAAAGTAAATACAGCAGGTTTGAACAAATAAATGATACCACATAAACTTATAAAAGGATGTAAGCCAACATTAGTCACATTTTTTAGTGACTTTTTAAGACAGTAATTAGAAAAAATATTCAAAATGCAATTTTAAACAAAGTTTTTAGCGAGTTGAGCTAGATATCTAATGGTATCTCTGTCTCATGAAGAAAGAAGTCATCTTTTCCAGATCATCATCTTCCTTTTTTTTTTTTTTTTCCCAGCAGTGTTGGGGTCAATTGTTAAAATGTACTTATTTGAAGATACATTGTTGAAGGATGCATTGATATAAGTTTTGCCTGAGCTGCAGTGATTTAATTAAAGGCGTGGTTTAATTAAAGGTTTGAGTTGTATAAAGTCTCATTTGTCTACACTGGGTGTACTGTGTAAACATAATACGTTTAAGTGAACCTTGCACTCCTGCACCTGTGTGCTTAGAGATAGAATTAATAGGAACATTTCAAATGGTGTTTCTATCCAAACTCTTGGGCAGTGTGTTTCAGTTAAATTGCTGCTTCTTTGGAGACAGAGAGTGGGGAAAAAACAACAACAACAAAACCCAGGCCAGTATGGTTCAGTCTTGAGCCAGAAGGTGTTGGGAATCTGAACAGCAGCAATCAGACTAGTCTGAGGGTCAGCCTGCAGATGGTAATGTTCATTTTGACTCTGTGTAATGGAGTGCCATGATGCATTTGGTGGGACTGAGTTGGATGAAGATCACAATCTTGGCCTCAAATGGGAGTTTGGTATGTTGACATCTATCAAATGACACAGCTGGGTATTTATGAACCTTCTGGTTTTTTTCTTTTTTCTCTTTTTAGTTGCAGATGGAAATGTCACGGGCAGAAAATAGTTTGGACGATGTATTTTGCTAGTGTATCTCTGCAGTTTCAGTTCTAACAATGGATAAGTGTAAGCACATAGGACGCCTGCGACTGGCCCAAGATCACTCCATTCTGAATCCACAGAAATGGCATTGCGTGGACTGCAATACGACCGAGTCTGTATGGGCATGCCTCAGCTGCTCACACGTGGCGTGTGGGAGATACATTGAAGAACATGCACTAAAGCACTTTCAGGAGAACGGTCACCCGGTGGCATTGGAAGTAAATGAGCTGTATGTTTTCTGCTATCTCTGTGATGATTATGTTCTTAATGATAATGCAACTGGTGATATAAAACTGTTGCGAAGTACATTAAGTGCAATCAAGAGTCAAAAGTATGAGTGTACTACTCGTAGTGGGAGGACTTTGCGTTCTATGGGTGCCAGTGATGATTCTTACCTTTCACACGACGGTGCCCAGGCCTTGCTTCGCAATCAAGACCGCATGTTCACAGCACTGTGGCACAGAAGGCGTGCGTTCATGGGCAAAATATTCAGGTCGTGGTTCCAGCTGACACCTAGCGGAAAAAAGATTTTGGAAGAAGAGAAGCGTTTGGAAGAAGAGGAGGAAAGGAGGAACAAAGCTAGAAAGAGAAGACAAGAACGAAAGCGCCAGTTGAAGGAAGAGATGGAAAAGATGCCTCCAAGAAAGAGCTGCCGTTTACAAAACCAGATGAGAATGTCCTCACAAACAGCATCCATCGTGCAAAAGACATCACAGAGCATGGAATCTGTGTCAGAGTTGAAAGAAACGTATACCTCAGATGAAGTAAGATTGAAAAAAATAGGTGACTCTCCAATTAAACGAAGGCCCACCGTGACTCCAGGGGTAACAGGACTGAGGAACCTGGGAAACACGTGCTATATGAATTCTATCCTGCAGGTATTAAGTCACTTACTTATTTTTCGAGAATGCTTCTTAAAGCTTGATCTCAACCAAACTCAGGAACTGCTGGCAACAGCAGCCAGTGGTAAAACCAGGTCTTCATCCAGACGCTCGTCAATAACTGCTTCAACATTACAAGTGAATGAGAACCAAGAGAAAGGAAGGGGATCATCTTCTGTGAGACGATCTAATTTATCCTCTGGATTAAGTGGAGGAGCATCAAAAAGTAGAAATATGGAACTCATTCAGCCCAGGGAGCCCAGTTCAAAGCATATTTCTCTTTGTCACGAGCTGCATACTCTGTTTCAAGTGATGTGGTCTGGCAAATGGGCGCTGGTGTCTCCTTTTGCCATGCTTCATTCTGTCTGGAGACTAATTCCAGCCTTCAGAGGATATGCCCAACAAGATGCTCAGGAATTCCTTTGTGAACTTTTGGATAAAGTGCAGCAGGAACTGGAGACTACGGGGACCAGATACCCAGCTCTCATCCCTGCTGCTCAAAGAAAACTTATAAAACAGGTTTTGAATGTGGTGAACAACATTTTTCATGGACAGCTATTAAGTCAGGTATGATTTTGTGATCTTTTTAAGATGTGTAATGATTTGTAGTTACAGATTTATAGTGGCCAAAGATTGGCACCTTTCAAAGGTTAATACATGTTTAACTACTGAGGAGGGCTGGGGATGATATAGTACAGACAGTTTTACAAGTAAGGTCATTTGGCTATTCCCAAAAATAGAAGAGTCACCTGATGAACATAAAAGTTGTAAATTTGGCATTATAAAACACATTCTTTAACTTACTGATAAGCATGTGGCTTTGCTTCTGAACATCAACTGATATGCAGTAATAAAGAATTTACAATTTAAAATCCAGGCTGGATTTTGCTCTGGGCAACCTGGTCTGGTGGTTGCTGACCCTGCACATAGCAGGGGTTGAAAGTAGGTGATCATTGTGGTCCTTTTCAACCCAGGCCATTCTGTGATTCTATGATTAAAGTACCTAGTTGGCTATGGCTGTGCACAAGGATAATCCTTCCTTTCCATTGTAACAGAAAGATATAGAAAGCTCTACAGAAAGCTCTGTACACAGGAACCAAATCTGTGGGGTGAAGGCAATTGTGGTTTTCCTTTTTTTCTGTCAAACTGCCATTTGTTGTTCCCCCCCCAATTGTTCTTGTTTTCTTTTTGGCTTCCTATTAAGTACTTCAGTGTGCCCACCTACTATTATGCATACCCCAGCTGTATGTGTATGCAAATATCTGTGAACCAACAAATGCTGATTTCTGTTGAACGCATCATAAAACTAACTGCACTACAAGAGGAACAGAGGCTGAGATGGGATAGTCTTGGTCTTCTGGAAGCGGTCTGTGGCACATATGTATGCACACACCGCTGAGGTAGTGCAGAAACGTTTAATGGATACATTGTGTGAATGAATAGAGGTTTGGGACAATTACCAACATTGTGGGTATTGCCTCTACTTTGACACCTGGAGTGCTGGTTCAATATTAATGTATATAAAACTAAATGTTTTTTAACTGAGGTAGGATTATTTTCTGCTGTGATAGTTAAACTTTATAAGCCAGCAGGACTTTTAAAATTAGAGTTGCATTGCAGAATATATTAACTTTTAGTTCATTTTAGGGTTTAACTGTTAGAAACTGGTACACCTGCTAATAAAAATTGATTATCCATTACCTTCTTTTCAGCCCAGTGTAAGAGCATTTCTGTTGGCAATACTTACTTCTTCCTTGAGGTGGTTATTTCTCGTATAAGGGTTGCACTGATATAAGTATCTAATGCATCATATTGTTAAATCTGTTTGAAAATCACATTCCTCTCCAACAGCAAATTTGATAGAAAACAAAGTAATTGCTTAGGCAGGCTGTCAAAGTGTGCTTTGCATTTTAATAGGAATCATTTTCTGGAAGACTTATTGAGGCTCTGAAGACACTTTCAGTAGTATTGCTTCTTTCACATGTTTTTTAGCTTTATCTAAAGAGGCTTGTGACTAGAAACCCTCCCACGTTCCTGTAACTAAGGAGGGGACTAATGAGAATTCACTCAAGTGTCATCAAGTGTGCCTGAAAGGGAACTAAAGAGATTCAAGCTATGCAATGACCACAAGACACAGTTCTTATTCTCCGGATGGCCAATATCTGTGTGCAAAATTCAGCACTGATGAACTTCAAAGTGCCTAGAATGAGCAGAACAAAAAAAGAGTGTGCTCCAGTAATTTCTCCCTGGCTCCTGAGGCAGTTTCCACAGGTAGTGCCCAGCACCTGACCTCCCAGTGTTCCCCCTTGTGTTCTCTCACTCCTTTCTTCAGTTTACTTTTCACTGGCATTTTGAACATGCAGCGGTACCACGTCTTTGACAGTGTTAATTCTTTAGAAGTAAGGAATGTAGTCTTTTTCCTTAAGTGCTCAGTGTTTTCTGCTTGTAAGCTGTAGCACTTGTACAGTTCTTCTCTAGAAGGTAGCTGGAGCCATAGCATGCTACTTTTCAAAAAATTAGGTGGGTCTTTAATGGAGAGTATTGTGTGAAGCACATCTTAGTTCAGTGAGTAAGGAGAGATGAGAAGCTGTGCAGCAGCTGCCTTCCATTTTAGCATCACGAAAAAGTTATTATCCATTAGTACTGAAAGTATTAGTCAAAGATATTTGATTCTGTGAGACACTCAAGTGCAGCAAAGCCGGTCTACTTGACCTTTAAACCTGAGGAACTGTTCTTGATACAGTACACAGAGGATCGCTTACAATGCAGATAAGCTGTATGTTTACTCTGGTTTTGCATTACTTTCACGTGTGCAATAAAACGTTGTCCCTCTCATAATCATTCCGTTTTAAGTTGTAGGGAAACCATTGTCTGGAATTTGCCTTCAGAAACAGCTGCCTGATTCAGCTCTGTAATTATTCAGAATATAAGAAAGAAGGGAACAGAATGTATAATAATGTTATTCAGGTTTCTTTTTGATAACCAGAAAAACCTTTAGGTACTGTCAAAACAATAACACCTTTTAGATGAGTTTGTTTCATTCTGATCTCAGTCAACTGGTTCACAGTAAGTCTTCCCCAACTACTACTTGAAACCTCATACTTACTTATGGAATACAAAACTAGGTAACAAGTAACTCCAAAAACAGCATGAGTGTAGACAATTAGATGGTCTCTTGGCTTTTCTATCAGCTTTTTTGACTCTGAGATCCTCTTTAAGGCTAGAGATTTTTACTGTGCAGTACTGATTGTGAAACTTTCCCTTGGAAACTGTGAGTATTTAAGACACAGCTGGAAAATCCTCTCCTTTCTTTTTTTATGTGCTAGTCTCTCTCCAGTAATTGCCTGAAGGGTGATGTGCTGTAATATTTCTTGGGCAAACAAATAAACCTTGTATACAAATGGCTTTCAGACGCAGATCTGCTGAAGCAGCGGCCACATCCCTCTCAACCTCGTTGGGACAGCAAAGAGATGCCAACACCCCCATTAAAAACGTAGTTATTTTCAATCCCGTGCTTATACTCTTGTGGAAGCAGGGAGACCCATTCTCTCCTATCCTTGATCCTTCAATGGGAAAGGCACTGGGAAGTTTTGTGCCGACGGTAAGCTGATCTGAACTGACCCACAGGCCCTTCGAGGACACTTCAAGGTTAACCGCTGTGCCTGGGGTTCTTTTGGTTTAGCTTTTTGAATGGTCCCAGCTAATTAGCACGGTATGCAACACTTTCTAAACTATCTTTATTTCAAGATTTGTTTTTCTTTTTTTTTCCCCCTCAGCGTTAAGCAGGGAGTTGTGGGCAGGTATATTTTTAGAAATCCGGGATTTGTAATAGCAGATTTTTTGCTTTCCAAGCAAGCGTGTATTTTCAGCACCGCGTTTGGAAAATTGTGTCCCCACACGTCTACAGAAATGATGTTAGCAGAAACTGATGTGTGTAGAGCAGCAAGCTCGCATCTTGCGCTAGGAAATGCCTGAGACAGAATGTGGGCAGCCTGCCTCCCCCAGCTGAGCGCTGCCGAAGACTGAGTGCTCGGAGAAATGAATATGCAGGAGACCCGGGGAGTGATTCGATTCTAACAGATGTAAATGAAGTTGAAGCTTTTAAAAGGCGGCACCTCTTTATGCATTTCTTACTCCATTTACTTGCTTAACTGGTGTGCTTCGGGACAGATTGGCTGAGAATAGGGGAAATGAGCAATCTTGGAGTTGTTTGAAGCCGTTCAGCTTTGGGTGCTGTGCTCTGAGTGTAAATGGGGGGGGAATGCGGTGGTGACAGCCATGCAGTGCTGGGTGTGAAGTCTCACACAGAACAAACTACTAAAAGCTGTGAGAATTCCAGGTAGATGACAGGATGTTTAAACTTATACCAACTAGCAACCTGTATGCTGGTTTCTGAGTTCTGATACCTAGAGTGTGCTGAACCACAAAATGGTTGACCAGTTGCTTTGCACCCAAGTGGGAGCATTTTCAGTTGATCTGTAGGAGACCATTGAATCACAGCCCGTGGTTTGCTGTGGTTTTGCTTGCACTGTTGTGTGAGATAGATAGGGATCGTTTTGGTGATGGTGTGCACTCATCACTACAAATTTCAGTTGTGTTTGTAACTGAAGAAATACAGTACAGGCTGTCATTTTGGAATGCCAAATTGTAGCAGCATCCTAGAAATCAAATCCCCTTTGATTACTTCACTGTGGAGAAATTCAACTGCTATTTTTAAATAGATAGCTGCTTATAGAGTGAAAACTTCTGTAGCAGTGAAAGCATAGAAAATGCTGGCCAACTTAGTGCTCTTAGAACATGGATGGGAGTAGTTGTCTTTCTTCCATGCAAGTGTAAAGAACAGAGGCAAAACAGAGCTGATGTTGGAGCTGCCTTCTTCTGCGGCAATATGTTAACTATTTTCTTTGGTTGCATTTAGGCTGAATGCCATCTGGGGCAGTGGCTGTCCATCAAATTATTGCGGGCTCAGTGATGCTTGTCTGAGCAGCCTCCGTTCTTAGCTCGAGTCAAGCAATCTGACCCAGCTCCTTTCAGTCTGGCCTTTGGCCCACGATTGAATGCTGAGCTTTAACCAAACAATTGTATATAGCACTCGTATTTCAAGGCATGAGAGCATGGCCAGGCAGAGCACAAAGTAGGGATTTCAGCTAGCTAAAAACAGTAGTTCACTTTCTTAGCTCTAATGTAAACTTCTCCTGCAGATTTGTTATAATGACAACTTTAAGACTTCCTAAAATAGCAATTGCAGAACGTAAGAGGGAGAGGTGAAATTAAACTTTGATTTTCAAAAACACAGCTGTAAAATACATGTCACCAATCAGATTGCTCAGCCAAATTCACTCCCTTGTTTCTGTCATGCATAGTCATACCACAAAGAAAGGTTGGAGAGACAGAAATCGGGGCTGAGCTGTGTGGGTATCAGAGGAAGATGGGGGCATTGTGATGAGCTCCAGCGCAGATGGGTTCTAGGTGGGGGAGAGATCCTCCTGCTTCTCACTGACCCAACTGGGGAGCTCGAGCCTAGCACAGGGAAATAGGTTTGATATTTGTTCCTGCCCTTATTTACATCTCATTTAGCACTCTGTGGGCGCGCACAGGAGCAGCTATTGCACAATGGCGGTAGGGCTGGGTGTATGTTTATTCACATAGCCAGGGTACTTGGCTGCTGTGAATTTGCCAACAGCCCCGCTAATTCTTTTAACAGTTTTCCTCCACTCGCCTTTGGTGCAGCTGTGCATCACTACGTGGGTCTGCTCTTTTTTTTTCTGAGGGACAAAAGTTGGAAGCTGAGCCAATTACGCGTTTGTTTTCCTTTGGGATAGCATTTATTAACTAGTTGAGAAAGAGGATCTTAAAATGAGCTAGGTTATTAACATGGCAAGCTGGATTTAAAACCTCAGGACTTGTTAAAATTACCTCTCCTGTGTTCGTGTGTGTGTGTACTTCATCCTAAGCCCATTAATCTTCAGTGCGCATTCAAGTTCAGCAAATTCTCGCTTAAGTAACTCATCCATTCAATAAACTTCTGGCCCACCAAAATCACCCATTTGTACAGCAGAAATCTATTAGTCATCCTGTGTTTATGCTGGAGTTAGCTTGAACTGTGGCCAAGCGGATCATTTCGTCTCCAAGTCTAGATTCCAGCTCTGAATTACTAATAGTTTGTGGCTTTGAAACGTTGCCAGATGTTCACGCTTAAAAACGAAGCTCCTGTCAGCATAAATGAAAACAAAAGAGTCTCTTTTCTGCTGTGTAAATTTGAAGTTTTGTTTTCTAAGAACAAGGCGGAGGCGTTTTCTTCTTAGAATGTAAAGCAACGAATTGCTCTCCTGACTGCTGCTGAACACGTGTGCCTGTACGCAAATATCCGCGTGCGTTAGGCAGCTAATGCAAGGATTGGGTATGAGCTGTTGTGGCTGCTAAATGCATTAAATAATTACTCAGAAGAGCACACAGAAGGAAGGTACCATAAGGGGACAGATCTCCCTTTATGTAAATCGCCCGGAAGTAACAAAGCAGGGTGAATAATTAAGTAACAACAAACTTTCACAGGAAAATTAAAGGGCTCCCAAATGAAACAGTGCATTTTCATTCTCACCTGGCCTACTAACCTACTGAAGGGAGCTACCCTGAATGTATGTCAGACAGCAACACCAAGGCTTGCCTGTCTGACAACGATTCTTGGATCCATTGTTGATCTCCATTCCTTTATTACTGTGTCTTCACATTAGTTGTTCCAAGCAACTTGTGCTATTCCCTTAAAAAGGAAGTATTACAGAAGCTTACAGAGATCTTACGTGACAATTACTTACCCTTTTGGTTGAAAACTTGCATATTCCATTTATTATAAAAGAAATATATATTTTTTCTCATCACACCCAACTGTTATTCTCTGCTGGTAGGTAGGAGTTACCTCAAAAGTAAGTCTGACTTGAAAATTTTGAGTTCCTGTAATCTTTTCCATGGGAAAGTTTAGTTGCTGGGGGGCACGTGGGAGCATGTTGGATGGTTATGGAAGTTTCGTCTGAGCTCAGTTAAAAGCCAGCTTCACATGGAGTTTTTCAGAAGGCATATTGGCTAGAGCACTGAGGTTAGAGCTGCTTGAGCTAGTGGTCAACTCTAAGCCAAGAAATAAATACATTCTTCCCAGTAAAAAACTCAAATTTAGGATTGTATCAGACTTCCAATGTGACACTGAACAAAGGGGAGCATCTTTAGTCTCACATAAACTTCAGATTTACTGATATTTCTTTGAGGCCTTTATGAACTATTCTAATTATGGTCTAAATGGAGTCTCACCAGTGTGTAAGTTCAGCTACTCAGAAGAATGATTCACCCACATATATCTTAGGAGGATGGAGATCACTGGGAGGAAAATGAAATGCTGTGGCACTCTTCTATTAGCAGCTTGACCTGGCCTTTAGAAGATTGCATTACAAAGATCTAATATCTTGCTGTTCAAGCTTAGAAGAGCTACTGCTTTTAACTTACTTCCCTAAATATTGAATGTTATCCTGGGTTAATTGCCTCCAGCTGTCTTATTTGGACTTTTGAGGTAGACTTGCTTCTCTTCTTGACATTTTATTTACCTTGTCTCACTGCTTGTCCCTTCCCCAGTGTGATGATGCATCCACTTACTGAAAGAAGAAATGTGTTATTTTTCCTTGTTGAGTTTTCTTTGAAGGAGCGATCTGGAGTATTTATTTTTAGAGAAAAGACTCCAGCAGTTCCACTGTCTGCTTTCTCTTGAAAAGTGCCATACAAATCATTTTGACACTTATTTTGTTTCTCAGTAAAACACAGAAGCACTTAGCCATTTGTGGTAGCAGTATTGGACATGCTGCTTCAGAGAAAAGAGGTGAGCTGTGGCATTACTCTTCTTAAATGACTACGCCTTCTGTTTTGGTTCCATTGGTTATCCTTAGGAAAATAATATATATCTATGTGGGGCTATGTTGTTATGGAATGCTTTTAACAACATAAACTTTTGAGTGTAACCAATTTGTGAAATACTGTTTTACAGGTTACGTGCCTTGCCTGTGACAATAAATCAAACACCATAGAACCTTTCTGGGACCTGTCACTGGAGTTCCCTGAGAGGTATCACTGCAATGGCAAGGAGATGGCATCGCAGTATCCCTGTCCGCTGACAGAAATGCTGGCCAAGTTTACAGAAACTGAAGCTTTGGAAGGAAAGATATATGCGTGTGATCAGTGCAACAGTGAGTAAAGGCAGTATGTACTCATATATATGTTCTCTGTGTAAAATATGAAACAGACTGACAGTAAAAGCATAATAGTAAAATACTATGAGTCTTAAAAATATGTTGCATTAAAAGCAAAGTTGTTCTCCTTATGTCCTGCTGTTCTGTCACTGTGGCAGCTATAACTTCTCAGAAGGGGAATGGTTCAAAGAATGTTTTAAAGTGTGATGCTCTTCTTAAATGAAGTCTGATCACACACTCATGGGAATCCTCCTATTCCCAGCTGAAGAACCTACCAGCTTTTTAAAATGAAGTGAATGACCTAAGTGACTACAAGCATTTTACACTTAAATCATAAAGTAAGCCTTGCAGAATGGATCTCATATGTATCCTTTTTAAGGAGATGCATTCTGTAGCTATTGAAGTTCACACAAATACGGTGGATGAATACAAGGCTATTAGCAAGATCTGTGTTATGTAACTGTGTGTTTGGCCTCAGCAAAACGCAGGAAGTTTTCTTCTAAACCAGTTATACTCACAGAAGCTCAGAAGCAGCTTATGGTGTGTCGACTACCTCAGGTTCTCCGATTACACCTGAAGAGGTTTAGGTAAGTACAACCACAACAAACAGCATTGCAGATTGATCCACACTGTCCTCTTCCATTGTTTGAGATCAATGTTCTTCAACATCCGTTTAATTTCAGCTAATGGTATGGTGAGAAATAGTAATAGAAACTTATTTTCCTTTCTCAATTTAAACACGAGTAAGCTATAACATAAGTAGAGAACTGACTTTTTGTTTTCCAATTACTTGCTACTTTAATATCAGAATTACTTCATCCTTCTTTTCAGTCCTTCTTTTCTACTAATCCTGCTGTGAACTCTGTTGGTAAAAAATGATTGTGTTATCGTCAAGTAAAGTGAACATTCATTCACTAATGTACAAGCTGAGATTGTATTCAATTAGAAGTCTCACATAACCTTCATATAACCAAATACATTGATTCATTTGCTTGAGAGTAAGGAAGGGAAGGCTGCATCACTGAGAACTCGTAGTCCAGCATTGGCATAGAACTGGTCCAGAATAGGAAGAAAACTGAAAAGGGCATTTAGTATGTGGAAATACAATTACAGTGAGATCTTAAGATGGATCTTTCAGAAGATGAAAATAGTGGGTACTGTAGTCACATTCCAAAAGGTCTCGAACGAGGTGTTTGGGAATCCTGCCCATGGCGGGGGGGGCGTTGGATCTAGATGAGCTTTAAAATCTTTTCCAACTCAAGCCATTCCACGATTCTATGACAAAATCTGGGGAAAATAGCAAATTCACATTTATTTTGTGTGCAAAGACAACAGCAAAGCTAGCCGTTTGTTTTCAGAACACAGCATTCAGAATTGTTTGTTCTAAAAAATGTAAGTTTTCATGTGACTTAACTTTCTAGGTGGTCAGGACGCAATCATCGTGAAAAGATCGGCGTGCATGTTAATTTTGATCAAATACTGAACATGGAGCCTTACTGCTGCAGAGAATCCCTCAAGTCTCTCCTACCCGACTGCTTTATCTACGACTTGTCTGCTGTAGTAATGCATCATGGGAAAGGATTTGGCTCAGGGCACTACACTGCCTACTGCTACAATTCAGAAGGAGGTAGGAGCCAGCTGTGAAATATAGGTGTGGGAGAAAAGGGTGTTCATAATTCTAAACTGCTTAACTTACTATCTTTTCTCAAATGCAAATGGGTGTCACTCCTAGCTGAACTGCCTGCAATGAGAATTGCAGTAGACCAAAACAGTGCAATTTCTCTATCGACAAGTTAAGCTCGTTCTGTCTCTAAACTCTCTGGCAAATTTGAGGAAGTTAAGCTGGGCTTTTAAAGTGGAGAGACAGATACAGTAGATCAATTGAAATAGCATACTATTTCAAAGCAACTCTTGTTAAATGGGATTAAGTAGACAAGTCTACTTCAAACCAGTGACCAGTGTCCTGATGGGTGTTTTTGTTTTCTTTGTTTGCTGTATTTCTTTGTTTCAGGATTTTGGGTACACTGCAATGATTCAAAACTCAACATGTGCACTATGGAAGAAGTATGCAAGGCTCAAGCCTACATTTTGTTTTACAGCCAACGACTTTCTCAGGCAAATGGACTTGGTAAAATATGTCCTAGCACATCTGAAAGTCAGCAGCACACAGAGTTAGCTGACTGTTCTGTGGACAACAGTAGCAGCTAATCCAAAGGCAATTAACTGTGTGTATGGTAAAGTTTGAATCGTCGTAACTATATATTTTTAAATGAAATGCAAGTACAGTGTTGTACTTTTTGACTTTGAATCTGTTGTACAATGTTTATATACTTTTGTATTAGGTAAAGTGCTCTTTACGATTGTTAGTGAAAGTTTTTATTGACAGTAAGTAACTTTCTAAGTACTTAGAATTTCAATACAGTTATTTTTTTAAGAAAAAGATTGCCATTTGCATTTAACTCTTACCTCAGGCTGTTTTTTAAGCTGTTTTTGTATTTTGATAATCTTTGGTTTAGAATAATGACTTTCAATGGAAAACTGATGTTTCTGTGGTTAATTTTCTATATATGCCTGTGTACATTTTATAGTATAGTTCTAATGATATCATGACTCTTACTTTCTGCAGGAATCGCTACTAGGTCTTAGAATATTAACATTCACCAGCAAGGAATGTTCTACATGTTGAATAGTAACTGAACTTTTAATAAGAAACTTTTTGTATGCCTGACTAAAGTGAAATTTGTTTGAACTCTTCTCCCCACACCTTCAAGGGAGCTATGCTAAAAGTTATAGAATCACAGAATGGCTTGGGGGGAAAGGACAGTAAAGCTTATCTAGTTCCAACCCTCTGCCATGGGCAAGGCTGCCACCTACCAGCTCAGGCTGCTCAGGCTCCCAGTCTAATCTGGCCTTGAATGCCTCCAGGGATGGGGTGTCCACAGCACCTCTAGCTCACCTGTTCAGTGCCCCATCACCCTCTTCAGTGGAAATTTCCCCCCTAACTTCCACCCTAAATAACCCCTCTTCTAGTTTAAAGCCATTTACCCTCATGCTATCACACTGTTGTCTAAAAGGTCGGTCCCCCTCTCCTATTTGTAAGCAGCTTTTGAGTACTCGAAGGCCACAATAAGGTCTCCTCAGAGCCTTCTGTTCTCCAGGCTGAACAAGTGCAGCTCCCTCAGCCTTTCCTCATAGCAGAGGTGTTCCAACAGTTCCCTATCCTCCTTGTGCTGGGGCCCCAGGCCTGGATGCAGTACTCCAGATGAGTTTCATGAAGGCAGAGTAGAGGAGGAAAGGACCCTCGCTCTCCCTGCTGGCCACTCCTCTTTTGATGCAGCCCAGGATACCACCGGCCTTTTCTGGGCTGTGAGAGCACAGTGCTGGCTCACATTAAGTCAAATAGATAGTTTATCTATCTACCCCTAGGTCCTTCTCCTCAGGGCTGCTTTCAAGGAGTTCTTGTCCCAGTGTGTACTCATGTCTGGGATTGCCCCAGCCCAAGTGCAACACTTGTTGAACATCATTTGGGCCCACTTCTCAAGGTACATCGATAAAAGAGTTTCTTAAAGTCTGAAATTAAGGAAATAAAGCACATACTTATTTTCACATAAGTATTTAAAGAGGAGCGTTTGGTAGCACAAGAATGTATGTATGTTTACTAAGCCTTCCATGTTTCAGCCTTAATGCACCTGATGATTTAAAATCCAACTGCCAAATCCCAAGTACTGATTTTGAAAACTGAGGCCTTTTTATTTCAGTAACATAAGCAGCTTTCTTAACAACAAACACCAAAAAACCACACACACAGTCACTGTTACGAGGATGTCAGCATCTCCTGTCTGACATGGGACAAGCTTGCTTTATTTAAATCGTAGCATTTTCCATTTCAGTAATCACTAACACAAGCCTTTGAAAAGAAGCTGTAAAATGTGTCTGAAAGCATTTTGCATCTGACTGGTTTCCTCAGCTACAACTGCTGTACCTTCTGCATGGTCCTACCACTAGCATTAACAGAACTGTGCATGGAGGAGAATCAACAGGCCGGAATTGTCAAGTCTTTCTCCAGCTGCAGCAGTTAATGCCAAGTAAATGTTAGTTGTGAAGTTATTTTTTGCATAATTCCTATGCAAATTGTTACCTCATCTTCTGCAAAGTTTATACCTCAATAAAATGCCTTGATATGGACAGAAAACTATGTGTGTACTGATAGTAGTTCTTTCTTACATTATTTAAAAAACAAAACAACAGAACAAACACAGCTTTGTCTAACTGTGGTTAAGGCATTATGTACAGGACTGCTTTGGCCATCTGTCACTGACAGAATGCTGGTTTTGTTCATAGTTTCAAGGTGAGTCTTTTAGTGCCATCATTATTTAAGTTTCCAAAAGGTGCCATGTTATAGCAAGCACCTGATGGCCGCTCTATGGCCAGCTATGTCCAGCTCCAGCAGCACTACACTGTCCCCATCCCATACTACAGAAGGGAGTTGAAGTGGGTGAGGGGAAGCACCTGGGCAGCTCTGGCACTGGCTCCATACTGCAGCCAGTCACTCTCCTGTTAGCTGCTCAGAGGCTTCCATCTAGGCTCTGATGCAACAGAGCTTTTTGCTTTGGGGCAAGATCAACTTCACTCGACTTTTGTAAACTGCAGCCACAAGCTTCCGGCCCCTGGGGAGAGGGGATGGACTTTAACTATGTACCACTGGTGGAAGCTGCAAGAAACTGGCAGTGCAAGCACACACACTGCATCAGGAGTGCTGTTCAGGCAGCCAAATACAAGAAAAAGCAACTTGGTTATTTTATGGTCAGAAAACGACTACAGTTACCGCAACGCAAGTCTTTGATAAACATTGGTTTCATCAAGAGATCTTCCAGTGTGGTCCGGTTATCAGACAGCTTGGCCAGGGCTTTGTAACTGCAGCCAGCAATAGGAAAAGGCAGCCTGAGCATCATGAAAGCCGTATAGGAATACATCTGGTACGTGGCACAAGGAGAAAGGAGTTCACTTTCACCTCCTACTCACTTCCATACAGCTTGCTCAGCAGCCCAGGAAGCGTCCAGACAAACTTGAAGTGAATGGAAACAAACTATCCTGGACAGTTTGTGGATTAGTTACACAGTCATCAGCTTCCCCATGGGAACAGAAAACAGCCTGCAGGATGGACAGCAAGCAACAAAAACTGGCCACAGCTCAAAGTGATTGTGCCAGCCTGAATCTTCCTGCTACATTACATAAAAGACAAAACAAACCGCTGAGCACAGCTGGAGACGAGAGAAGTCTGGCACTAGTGGGCAAGTGGCTGAGAACTGAAGCATGTTTGGATTCCCCCTTTTAAGCAGCACGTGCAGTACCCAAGCTCAAAAACACAGTGAGCTGGAAACACTGTACTCTGCCAGGACCCAATTATAGAGTCAAAAAGCACATCAATAACACGGTCCTGTTAGCACAAATAAAGACAGTATCAGCTCCCATATCCTGCAACCGTGTTCAGCACAGCTCCTTTCAATGCCAGTTCTCACACTGCAGTGTACATACAAGTGCACACACCTGGCTACTGTTCGTTTGAAAGTCAGGAGCCCACAAACTGCTCACATCACTTCCAGTTCACTGCTGGGGTGCCAGAACTCCCAAATCACAACGACAGAAACGCACGTGTCAGGATTCAGTTTCATCCATTTCCACAGATTATGCCGAGTTTTAAACAATATACCAAGAAAAGAAATAAACCCAGGCATTTTAAGTCTACTATGCAGGCAGTACCTGACACTGCTCCCCTCTCTAAGCATCCCTTCACATACTGGGGCTTTAAAGTAACGCAGCTTTTACCACAAGGCAAAGGAGGAAAGAAATGATATTTTTAAATATGAGCTCTGTAAATAAATAAAGGCTGTCACTACAAAGGAGCAGCTCCCCCTGCTTCCTGAACAGACTCACTTAAGACACCGTTCTGTTAAAACGACACTGATCTGTTAAAGCAGCTGTCATTTTTGTTAGCAGTAAGAATGGAAAAAATGGATATGCCAGTCACTAGGTGAATATACAGTGCTGGAAGATGCACTGTGACCTAGGCCTGACCTATAGGGTTTATTATAACTTCACCCTTGAGATTCCCCAGCTGTTCAGCACATCAAAGAGATACCAAATATTCCAGGTTAGTATGAGAAATCTTCCAGCAGTTAGAAAAAACAACGAAACAATACATTTTCATTATCCCCACAACTTGTCCAATCTAACACATACTGTAAGGAGATTGTGAATCACACAAAAGCAATTTCACACTGAGCAAAAGGCAAAGAATACAAGGAGGTAGAAAATAATACTCACAGGTTGATTTCAGTCTGAAGCTGCATACTGCAGGTAACAGCAACAGAGTCCACAGAAACCATCTGACATATTCCAATACAGAGAAAAGTCAAAACTGAGGATTGGCACACTCGAAACTAAATCATATGCATCTCTCCTTCTATTGTCATATTACGTCCTGGAAAATGGTGATGACTGATCACCCTGTATCTCAGCACTGACACCACTACTTACTCTGGCCCTGAGCACCCATCAGGGTGACACTCACTCCCCTCCTTCAGCAAGACACAGGAAGAAAATACCAAGAGACAACTTGCAGGTTGAGATAAGGACTGGGAGCTCACTCTCGAGTTACAGTCACAAGCAAACTCAGTTTCAGGGAAATGAAAACTAGAAAAACTAGAAGCAAACTGAGAACACTTCCCCCCAGGCTCAACTTCAATCTCCATTCTCTTGCCTCCTCCCTCGAGTAGCACAAGGGCACGGAGATGTGAGCTTCTGTCAGCTCCTAACACCTTACCTCTGCCACTCCTTCATACTCTTCTGATCCAGTGCGGGGTGCCTCCCATGGCACACCGTCCTTCACAGCTGCTCCTACACTGGCTTCCCACAGGCTGTAGTCCTCAAGTACTTCTGCAGTGTAGGTCCCCCAAAGGCCATAGTTGCTACCAGACAGCCTGCTGCTGCAGAGCTCCACAGGCTGCAGCTTCCTTCAGGTCACATCCACCTGTTGCAACTTGGGCTCCTTCTCCTCAGGTTGCAGGTACAGATTCGTTGTTCCTCTGCTGTCCTCTGTGTGCTACATGTGGACAGTCTGCATCACCATGGTCCTCAGCTACAGATTACCTGCTCTGGCACCTGAAGAACCTCTCCTCTTTGCTGACCCTGGCATCCATGAGGGTTTCTCCCACATTTTCTCACTCTCACAACTGCTACACAGCACTTTAGCCTTTTAATAATTGTTATCCTGGACGTACAAGCAACATCTCTCATCAAGCTCAGCTTTAGCCAACACTGGGTCCTTGATCCACTGCTGCAGTGGGATCTCTTATCAGCAAGGCCACCCCTTCAGCCCCCACTGCTACCAGAGCTTTGCCACCACAGCAATAAAATGCAGGGTTTCGTACTAAGGCAGGTCCAATTTCAAGACAAGAAATGGCAAGTCAAGTTTGTAAAATATTTAATAGAGCAGTTTCCCAGCAGACTCCTGACCAGAACTGTAACCAGACTTCTAAAAAGTATATATATTTTTTTTAGATCTGAAAATTTGTCTTTATTTTTTACAAAATGGATTCCAGGAAGTTTAAAAGGCAATATCATAGAGGACTTAGGTGCAGAAATCAGGTGTAGTCATTCAAAGCATTCAAGTAGGAATATGGTAATATAAATATTTGAAAAGCATCTTTTTTTCATAAATGTTCAAAACAAAATGTATAACTCATTCCAAACTAAAAATTGAGCTTTATAGCACGTATTTCCCTGAACAGAAAAAATAAGTAACTTTTGAAATATTTCTAAAGGCCTGAAAGCTTTTTCCTTGGTTAGTTACATTAGAAGACTTGCCTTTGATTAAATTACTTCCTTTCCAAATATGGAAAGTATTACATCAGTCCACTGTTAAAACAGACAATACGTTGCAAATTAATTCTGGTATAGTACGTTCCAACAAAGCCTAGTGTATAAAGGTGCTGAGGTGGCTTTCAGTTTAGTAGTCATCGCCTCGGCTGACAACCTCCTTGCACGTCGGACGCAGCAGTATGGTGTGCTCAAACTGTGCCGTGTACGAGCCTTTAATGTCGCACAGGGGAGGATAGGGATCCACGATGCCCAGGTCGCACAGGTTCTTCAATGCCATCAGGTATTTGCTCTCCCCCAGGCGATCCAGCCATCTGCGGCAGAAGGCAAGAGTACCGAAGTTTTCATTGATGACGTTCAGCAAGTGTTTCGCCCTCGGAAGCCTAAGGGAAGGAAGAAGAACACAATTCAGACAAAGAGGCAACACCA